TGTAGTAAAATGACTCAAATTTTACAAATAATTAGTTTTTCGTAAAATAAAGTAATTATCTTAAAATTTGACAAACTTCATGTTTTTTTTCCAACTTTGAAAATATAACATTTGCATCAATATAATAAAAAAACAACCCATGGCTCTGATTCCACTGTTGGGTTTTAGTATACTACAACATCCTATGGTGCACATACAACCCTAAATTCTTTGGATCTATGTTTTCTCTAATTATACATGCAATATTGTTTATAAAGCATTAAGCCTACAACTAGCATACAATTAACATACACAACATAAAATACTAGTTAGGAGTTTACCTCTTTATGTAGCTTGTAGAACTTGTTGTATTTGGCCTTTAAGAACTTAGCACCCCGAGTGTGATTTCTCAAACGTATCACAACACACCTAGGACAAAGGATAACTTGAGAGAGATGTTGCTAGCTCCAAAATCGGCTCTAATGAACTCCGAAAACTCTAGTGCACAATTTTGGGTGCTAAGGGAGTCCTTTTATAGTGTGGCAAAGTCTAGGGTTACATGCATGCAAACCCTAATGCCCATGACCTTTCATATTACTTAGGTGCCATGGGTTAAACCTCCATGGACTATCCATGGACAACCATATTGGTTTAGCCCATCGTAAATAACAGTTGACCCACACTATAAGAATCATTGATTTACCAAATCAATGCCCATACATTCAATTAGTCTCTTTTGATCACATAATTAATTCCAAATTAATTCTTGATCAATACTAATTCAATAATATGATTTCATATTAATATATTAGAATTTATAATATATTAATAAATTATAAGTAACATATTACTCAAGTATCCATCCTATCAAACTGTCCTGGTGATATGTAACTCGAAATGGACCATGCTACTCTCGGGTCAAGTACATACCGATTATAGTTATGGGCTTAGAAACCTAATCCAACACACAACATGTCTTATGACGCTACCCAGGCGATGTTCTATTTGGTCGCTTGCTCCCACCGTGTTTAGCTGCTACAGGAGATAGAGGCTTCCCATGCTGGTTGTAGTAGTTAGGAATCTGAATTTAAGTACTAGATCATTGAGCTTGAGAATGATGATCGTAGCTTTGATCAGAGATATGCGTTGCTGGCACCATAGAAGGTTGCTGCTAAGGAGGTAAGGTCTGCTTTGGAAGTTAAGGTGGACTCCTAGATACAAGACAATGAAGGATTAATGATTCAAATCGAAAGCCTAGAGCAAGACGTCAGTGATCGTGATAAACTCATTGAAAGAATCTGAGATGAAGCAAAAACTTGCTCCTTCATCAAGATTGGCTCTTGCAGGTATAGGTAGTGTGCATCATGGACAAGCTGATCGAGTACTTGGAGTTTATTAGTGCGATTAGCCAAATTTGCCATGTTGCCTTTGTTGTCGGCGAAGAGTTTGACCACGCTGGACTGAAGGCAGAAATCGATTCTGGTGTCCATGATCCTGACGGTAGCGATTCTCGATCCATCCATACCATTAGCCTTAATTATGCACTACTTACTGAACCATGTTGCTCTCTTGGGCGAAGGACATCTTGATATGGCTGGGATGTGGCAGCTTTGTGTTTTGGAGGATGCATGGGAAATTATGTATGACGTTCTAATTAGCATGGCTGGCGAGGGTGGTGCGGGTGCTGATGGCGATGGTGATGCAGAGGCTGGTGGCGGCCGATCTGGTGCTACCGGAAGTGGTGGCAATGTAAAGACTAGTGATGATGGTGTGGTTGTTTTTGGCAATGATGAGGATGCGAAGAGTGGTGGTGATAGTATCGTTGGTTCGAAGGGTACTTTTGTACCATGGGCTTCCCTTCGGGATGAGAAAAGTTTGTGAAGTTGGTTGACTTGCTTTCTTTTACTGTTGTTTATGCTCGTTTTGTATATGGTTTTCGATGGCCTTAAGTGTTGGTGGCCCCTTGGTGTTGATTGTAATGGTTGTTCTGTCTTAATGTAAGATGTTCTTGTTTATGCTTACTCTTTGATAAATTTTATTCTATTTGTGGCTTAGTTCTAAGCTTCTTTTCTTGTCGCCTCCTGCCTTTCAAGTGTAGGGCCATTGTTTGGTGTGGCACATCGCGGATGTCTTAAGTTTCCATGGTACAATTGTATTTATTAAGTGTTTAGTTTTGAGATGGATGTTTTGCTCAACAAATATGTTAAATATTAAAGTGGCTATCGAGAACCCAATAAATATGCTAAGTATTTTGATAAAATGGCCATGCTGAGCCTCATAAATACACTGAGTATAAAATGGCTATTCTAAGCCCCATAAATACACTACGTATTTTTATTAAAGTGGTTATTCTAAGGCTCATAAATACACTAAGTATTTTAATAAAATGTCTATTTTGATCCCCATAAATACACTACGTATTTTAGTAAAATGGATATTCTGAGCCCCTTATATACATGAAGTATTTAACACACAAGCAATACATTAAGTACTTTGCATTTTGCAAGAAGGCATGCTAGGCCTTAGGTGTTAGATGTCGCTCTGAGTGATGCTAGGCCTTAGGCATACATTGTAGGTTAGACTGAAAGGTGTTTCCTGTGTGCTTGTTCTCGACATGGTCCTATACGACCAAAGCACTCGGGGTAGTTCTTCGACCTACTTACCTTTGGCCTTCCCCAGGCGTTTTTTGATTCCATTTACCAAGGTTTTGCTGGGCACTTCACTTTGTCCATTGTCCAGGGGATGCACCACTGATGTGAATAGTTGCTCGATCCCTTTTTCAACGCACCAGCTCCAGAATGGGTTTTCTGCAAATTGCAACCCATTATCACTGACCAGTACCATGGGTGTTCCAAATCTTGCCATGATGTTTTTCCATATAAATTTGATCATTTGCCTACATGATATGCTCACCAATGGTTCAACAACTATCCACTTGGTGAAGTAGTCGACTACGACTACTAAGAATTTCACCTTTCCAGGGGCTTTCGGGAATGGTCCGACAATATCAATTCCCAATGGTAGAAGTGCCATGGGTTCGAGATGCTCGTCAGAGGTCTTGAGGGGACCCCTTGGGCTGAGGAGTAAGCCTAGCATTCGATGCATGTCCGCGACAATTCCATTGCATCTTGATGTATGCTTAGCCGGTATATGCGTGTCTAGAGTATCTTCCCTATAAGGGTCCTCGCCCCTTCATGTGTGCCCGATGGACTGACATGTGTCTCCTGGAGTGCTTCCTTACCCTTAGCTTCATCTATGCATTTCAACCATGGTGTCACAAACCCTTTTCGGTATAGTGACCATTCTATGGCTATGTATAGTAGTGCTTTGATTCTTACTTTCCTCGCCTCTTTGTGGCTATCGGGTAGGACCCCCTGCTGTAGGTATTCAACCATTGGTGTCATCCTGGTGTGTCATGTTGGTGTCAGGGTGTGCACTTTTCATTTTTCTATGCTTCTTTCTTTAAATACTTCCACCAAAACCTTCTTAGATAGGTCGCCAAAGCATGTTGATGCCAATTTTCTAAGGGTGTATGATCTTCTATTTTCCCCTATTAGGATTTACCGGATGGTGAACTTCTTGAAGGGTTCTACAAGTCTCTGAATGGATTTCACGTATTTCTCTATTCATTTGTCTTTTGCTTCAAACTATCCACTTATCTAATTAGCTGCTAAACTCGAATCCGTTAGGGCTGTCACTATGTCCATGCCCCTTTGTCTTTCCAGTCGTAGGACAACTAGCAAGGCTTCGTACTTAACCTCATTGTTGGAGGTGTGGAAATCGAGATGAAGGGTATATGTGATTTCTTCTCCATTTGGGCTTGTTAAGACCAGGCATGCTCCCGATCCCTCGTTGCTAGATGCCCTATCGGTGTAGAGGGTCCACTCCTAACTTCCTTCTTACTGGCGTGCCCCCAATAATTTCTTTCCTCGGGCAACTGTTATTCTATCCGCCGAGATCTCAAGAAGAAAATATGCCATTGCTTTCCCTTTAATACTGGTGCGTAGACAGTAGTCGATGTCGTGTTCCACAAGCTCTATCTCCCATTTTGTCAATCTTCTGAACATTTCCGGCTTTAGTAATATATGTTTAATTGGGTAGTTTGTTACTACCTCTATTTGGCGTGCTTGGAAATATTGTATCAATCGCCGTGTTGTGTTGATGAGTGCAAGCACTAGTCTTTCTAGGACAGGGCAGTTGGTCTTTGGTCCTTGTAGAGACCGGCTAACAAAGTAAACCGGTGATTGCTTTGCTTCTCGTTCCACTACTAGAACCGAGGAGATGGCTTCGCTCGGTGCTGAGAGATATACTTTCATCTTTTCACATGAGATGGGGATATCTAGTATGGGAAACTTATATAAGACCTCCTTAATCTGCTGAAGTGTTGTTTTTGCTGCTGGTGTCCATTGGAAATTTATTTTCTCTATGCATCCTTTAAGAGTGTGGAAGAGTGAGATGGATTTTTCTACCGACTTGGAAATTTGTTAGCTATTTGGGTGATCTTGTCCGCGAGAAGGTGGGATTAAGTGCTCTTTGCTGGAAAAAAGTTAAACCAGAAATGAAGGACAAACTATGGGAAGAGATAACAGTAAATATTTTCTTCAATTTTTTAATCTGTATAACATAATATATGTAAAAATCAAGTTTTAAATACTAACATTCTCATTGTTTTTTTAGCGCTATTTTGAGGTTCATGAAAGTAGAAAACAATTTGTGATGAATAGACTTGGTATTCTTCTACGAAATTTCAGAAGAAAGTTGTATGCAGATTACATCAAACCACATCTAGGAGATACCGATATGCTCGAAAAAAAAATCCCATTTCGTTATCGTGCACTAATCATTGAACATGATGATTGGAACAAATTTGTGACTTATACACAATCTCAAGAGTTCAATATTAAAATCTTTTTTTAAAACTTATTCATTTATTTATCATAATCTGGGTTCTAAAAGTTCGTGACAAATATGTTACTTTTAATTTACAGAATGTGTCACAAAGGACTATCAAAGCGAGAAAGATGTCAAAGTATGATCATCGGATGGGACGAGGGGGGTATACAACCCTTAGGAGGAAGTTGGTAAGCTACATTAACTTCATATCATTTTATTTAACATGCTTTTTTTCATATTCTTTATAATTTTTTTTTTATCAAGATTGAAGAGAATGTGATTTCGAAGGAGGAAATTCCCCCAAGGTCAGTTATGTGGTGTAAAGGGCATGAAAGTAAATGAGAATTTAAGGATGAACATGTTAAAATCATGGCTGATAAACTAGTAACTTCACTACACTTTTCTTTTTCTTTTACTTTAAGTATTTTAATTATTGATATTAAGACAATAATTATTAATTTTTTGTTTGGTAGATGGAACATGAGAAGCAGATAAAAGAAGGACAAGTAAATTTTGAACCAGTAACGGATGCCACGACCTTAGTTCTTGGCAAGGAAAAGGGAAGATTTTTAAAGGGTGTCGGCACTGGAGTCACTTACAACAGATATTTTAAAGTTCCCCGCAGCAAAGGGTCATCTAAGGAAGAAATTAAAGATCTTAAAGTTGCACTACATAATGGAAAACTTGAGCTTGAGAAAAAAGATGTTGAACACAAGGCTTTGTCTACAAAGGTTAATGAACAATATTAAACACTAAAGCTAGTTGTGGCTCATCTTAAAGCCAAAGGAGCTGACTTTCCAAATCTATCTCATACAATTGTAAGTAATCTTATTGAAAATATTTGTTGTCAATGTTAGTTCTAAATTGCATTTCTTTTAAACATATTTACTATTTCTTTATATTTTCTAGGTATTTCAAGTGAGAAGATTGTACAGAGTAATGAAACGTCTCCTATTAGTCTCAAAACCAATGAACCTTCAGAACCTGTAACACCAGTGTGTTATCGTCTTATTAGATCATCGTTGATATATATATATATATATATATATATATATATATATATATATATATATATATATATATATATATATTTATGTTTGATACTGATTTCTGATTTTTCATGTTGGACTTTATATTATGTAGGTTATTTCAAAACCCAACAAAAAACCTATTCAAACAAAATCTGTAACTACAACACCGGATGCAAAATTGATATCCATGAAATCTGCAACAGTAGTATATACTAACTTTACAGTTTTCAATACTTTTATTTAATCTTTTTTATTAAAATATATGTTTAAATATGTCTTAAATCTTGATATCAGGCAAATACAAAAACCACCAACAAAACTGTTAAGTCTAAGACTACCACTATCAATCATGACATACCAAAAGTTTCACCAAATAATCCCATTCACCAGGTCAGTGTTTTTTTACATGATGAATATACATTTCTTTTTTTTTTTTTTTTTTCAAATTATAACATTACTTGTCATTGTAGCCAATCAAGTGTAGTCTATCATATCCGTATAAAAGGAACATCGTTTCCCTCCGTACCATTCACTTATCATCAGAAAGACAATTAATTCATGGAGTTCCTCTACAAGATGATTGCTATAAAGTTTCCATTGATGAAGTAGTTGTAAAAACTGCATTTCTACCACATCAAACTGGAGAATTAAAATTAGTTGAGGATGCATATAAAAGTTTTGCTCCATGGCCAAAATACCTTGTGCAAACCGAGTCAGAGGTTTGTTTCAATATGTCCAATACTTTTTGCATTAAACTTTATTTTCTTCATACAGTACTATACTAAGTTTATGATGAATTAGTTTTATTGGTTTCAATGTTGTTGTTATCGATACCAGAAATTATATCACATCAAAAATCAACAAAAAGGAAACCAACTTACATATCATCTTATGCCCTTCTGAAGAAGACAATGAGCAATACAAACTAAAAGAATGCCTAGCTAGTTATGATTAGGTTTTGGTTTATGATGTGTTTGATTTTTTAACCGTTATATTAATTCTTTAAATTACACATATTTTCCTTTCTTTGATATTTTAATTAGGAATGTAATGTATATATGGATTTTGATTTCAATTATTATTAATATAAAATTTTGAATTTTGTTTGTGTTTCATATTGTTGTGTTTGGTTACTTTAATTTAAAGTATTTTCATGTGTCTAAAATGTATAAAAAGTAACAGTAAATAGTAAGTTATAGTGGCTGTAGTATGATTTTCTCCATATTATATATGTTTTTAATGTCTCTAAAAATATACACTGGTTACTTTACATCAATTTGTAACGTGTGGCTAAATGGTTAATAATAGTCATTATATACAAGAATTATGACACTACAACTGATTTAAAGTGATGTTTATTAAAAAAGTTGTCACTAAGTTAAACAATAACAACATGGAAAACAATATATGTGGAAAATAAATACCATAATTGATTGTTGTTGAGACTAAATACTAGGAAATCATCACATAGATCATTAACTATATGTGTCCATTTAATGAACACGGACATGTTTACCGTAAATTATATGTGTCTAAAATATACCCAATAGTCTTAATACGATATCGAATTGTCCTTAATTTTAACAAAATGTGTGACTTTATAATACTTATGATTTTAATTCACTTATTCGTTTGTCTCTATACGTTAGGTTATAGTCACAAACGTTGATTGGTTTATGTGACTAATAATTAGCAATTCGTCACATATGAAAGTGAAGTACCTGTGGCCATTTAACAAACATGGTCACACTTACCATAATTAAAAGTTTACAAAAGATACACAATACTCTTAATAGAATTTAAAATGTGTGACCATATTTAAGAAAACAACTACACTAAAACATCATGAATGTCGCATTTTGGTGATATACAGTCACAACGTTAAATAAATATGTGTGACTAATAACGGTTTAACGCTACACTATTAGATATTTAAGGAACAAAATTCCATACACATTTGCCACACTTTTATACTATGGCCACATGTTTTCATAGCATACAGACACTACATTTTAAAATGACCATAAGACCCATACGATGGCGTCACCTTCCGTCACACTTTTAGTGAAAAAATAAAATGTCACTATACGCATATAGTCGCACGTTTTTGGTGTGACTGTAAGTCAGTTTTCTTGTAGTGTTCTTACTAAATTTTTTGTGAAATCCTCCCACAACTAAGTAGCATAGTCCACACTCAAGTCGTAATATAGCCCCATTACCATTTTGTAGACCTCTAGTCTTCCCTTGTCAAGACCCACACTTCTGCCTGTTAAACATCGGAGGAAAATTCCAAACAAGAAATTCCATATACAGGGAAGCCAAAACTTTTTGAAATCGCTTATCTTTTCGAGTGGTGGCTGGTGGCCCATCTCGTTGAACATATGTATGATTTGAGGGTTTGTAGGTTTGAAGAATGGTGGTGAATTGGGAAGTTCCAAAAAATGAGAAAACATCTTCTTGGTGAGACACATATGTTTCTCATTCACCAAGTTAAAGGTAATGATATATGTGGCTTTGTTGTATGTTGTGGTTGAAGCAGCCATTGATAACCAAGATATTGGGACTGCGAAGGAGTTGAATATTGCAGTAGCCAAAATAGATCTCTTCAAGACAACAATCAGCATTTTGAGTTCTTCTGGATACAACGATACATTGGATTCAACCTGATAGTTTGTGCTTTGAATCTTCATCGTCGATTGAGAAGCAACATTTTCAGTATTTGAAGTTAAAGTAGCAACTATTGTTGAGTGGGTTGAGAGCTTTGAGAGAATTAGGAATTTTTCAATTTTCAGGAATCTTGAACGCATAATGAGCAATTGAAAATAAATTGCCATTTATATGTAACTCCAATATAATAAGAAGCGGTTTTCGTTATGATCACGTCACTTCTCGCCTTGAATTACGTACCCGTAGCCATTTTTGTAACCGTGTCAGATAAAGTTCCTTGAAACTAGGACCAAGTTGCCAAACGGTTACTTTTAGACAGTTCGTGAGTACTTGTGGATAAGATCAAACTCTTCGGATTGGAGGCTAGGCTCTTTCGTTTTTGGGATTCGAAACTAAGTCATTTGCTAGTCTTTTGAAATCTTCAGCCTAAGTTGGTATTACATAGAGCCTCAAGGATTTCGTGAGTGCAGTGATTTAATGAAAAGAGATAAGAAGCAATTAAAAAAATTGACTCTGTGATGCCAAATGATTTGACACAAAATCAATAAACCCCGAGCAAAGGTTGCTTCGTTAATTATCAAGAGAGACGGCTAACATCTTGTGCATTTTCTCATGAATTACAGTCGAATGCTTATAGAGAAGTATCGAAGGGCTTCTTTTCAAAGGCTTAATGGGTGGTATACGAATTTTGTTACATATCAACCTAAACATAAGGTGGGTAATTGTAATCGAAATTACTTGTTTGACCAGTGTAGTCAGTGACAAGTGGATGTGGAAAAAGTTGTTAAAGTGACTAAAGACAAGAATTGATACTCACACAGAAATCATATTCAAAGCAAAAATATTTAAATTGGATTGTGTTGGGAAACAAATGTCGTGGGCTTCGAACATTCGATCAAAACCACTCATATGAAAGAATGTGATTTGGAGTATATGAAACGTTGGTACAAAAACAAGAGTTTCGTAAGAATATGGAACAAAGTTCCCCGTCAATGCCTAAATAAGTTCGTTTATTTGGGTTTCATTTGCATCACGGTCTCATGATTTAAGATCATTAACACAGATTTTTGACATGTTTAAGTCATGATTGGTTTGATCAGTGACCTCTTGAACATGTGTCTTAGTGTGTGAAATGTGTTAAGAAATTTGTGATGAAAAGGATTAGCTAAGATTCGAATGTACCTCTATTATATATGAACCAAACTGATAACTCTTAACTCATATGAGAAGAGTAAGGTAGCTCATTGGCTAATGCCAATGTAAGCCTAATTGCGAAGAATTTTTCCTACGAAAATTTCATTAAGGCTTTCGTAACACACATAGAATCAGTTGAGGCTTTGGTCGACATGTTGCAACAATGCTTCTAGGGACATCTTAACTAGTACAAAGATTGAAGAAAATTACCTTCCCATAGAAACATAAGCTTGACCCTTTGAAAAATTGTCGTGAAAATGTTCTTAAAAAAAAATAACAAAACAAAAAAATATCAAAGTAACAAAAATATTTTTGTGATTTTATATTTTTGAAAAGAAAACAAATATCAAAAGAAAATCTTTTTGTTGTTTTTGAATTTTCAAAAATAAAAAAAATATTTTTGGTTTTTCAGTTTTTGTTTTTTGAAGAACAAATGGTAAACTAAAAAAGATCACCGAACATGCAAAAAATTTTAGTTACCATATACGAAAATGAAGCATGTCGAAGCCTCTTAACGCACAGTAACCTCTGAATGGTTAATACAACAAGTCTCTAAATCAGCACCTTTTTCACCAACATCATTTCGTTTATCTTGGTTATCTGATCATGGTACTGAATTCGCATCTAACATTCCCAAACCTGATAAAATTCTCACACAAGATTTTTCATCAAGTGGTTTAGTGAAAATCTCAGCAAGTTGATCAGTAATTTTTACAAAATGAACTTCAATGTTTCCATCTTCCACATGATCTTTTATAAAATGATAGCAAAGAGTAATGTGTTTGGTTTTTGTATGTTGTACTGGATTATGACAAATGTTGATAGCACTTTGTGAATCATAGTATAATGGAATTCTTTTCATGTTAATTGCATAATCACGCAATTAGATTTGAATCCAAATGATTTGAGAAGTGAAAGCAGCATCAGAATTTATTCAGCTTCAACAGTTGAAATAGCTACACAAGTTTGTTTCTTTGACTGCCAACTCACCAACTTCCCATCCAATAATTGACATCCTCCACTTGTACTTTTCCTGTTGAGAGTACATCCACCAAGTTCTGTGTCCGAGAAGGCTTGAATATAAAATCCTGATTTCGAAGGATACCAAAATCCTAACGAAACTGTTCCTTCGAGATAACGAAAAATATTCTTTACAGGTGTTAAATGTGGTTTTCTTGAACAATTACAAATAGAATTACAAACAGATAACATGATATTAGGTCTACTTGTAGTTAAGTAAGGTAGAAAACCTATCATGCTTCGAAACAAGGTAAGATCAACAACTGGTGAATCTAACAAATGTGTTAACTTCGTTCCTACTGCCACTGGCACTGATAGGTTCATGCTATTAGTCATTCCAAAATTTGCAAGCAAATTCTTCGTGTATTTCTCTTGATTGTTGAAAATTCCTTCTCTATTTTGTCGAATATTCAAACCAAGAAAATTGTTGATTCTACCCATCATGCTCATTTCGAATTTACTTTTCATCAAATTTTCAAATTCACTAGACAAAGTTGGGTCAGTAAAGCCAAAAATAATATCATCAACATAAATTTGAACAAGCATCAGATGATCTCCAACTTTCTTACGAAATAATGTGGGGTCAACTGATCCTTGTTTAAATTTTGACTATTTTAAGAAATTAGTAAGAGTTGCATACCATGCTCTTGGTGCTTGTTTTAATCCATACACAACCTTATCTAAAATATAAACATGATTAGGATATTCTTCATTAACGAAACCTGGTGGTTGTTCAATATAAACTGTCTCTTCGAGCTCTCCATTCAAGAATGCACATTTGACATCCATTTGATAAACATCAAAGTCTTTGTGTACTGCATAGGCTAAAAATATTCGAGTAGCCTCGAGTATTGCAACAGGGGAAAATGTTTCTTTGTACTCAATTCCTTCTTATTGCGAATAA